CACGCACCTATTTTGCTCTGCCTCTACCAGTCCTCTTCCCATCAGGGAAAGGGAATTTAAATATTATGATTATATTAAATCACCTTGAGTTTGGTAGGTTAGCTTTTGAATTACCTTTGCCAGACTGCCCAGAGCCCTTCTCCACCATATCTGGTAAGGTGCTTTCTCCCTCTACTGCCCCATGTGCCTCCCTGATCCCTGTCACTCCTCACACAAATAATCACTCCTATAAATGACTTACTTTTGGAAATTGTATTATTGTTACAATTCACCTTGAAGAGTATATTCTCATGTCAAGTTCTCCTTTTTAAGCCTTAAAGCACAATTAATAATCCCCGTATGCACACACACGCACCTATTTTGCTCTGCCTCTACCTGTCTTCTTCCCATCAGGGAAAGGGAATTTAAATATTATGATTATATTAAATCACCTTGAGTTTGGTAGGTTAGCTTTTGAATTACCTTTGCCAGACTGTGAAGGGGAAGCTGCCAGAGTGGTCATTGTGACACAGTCAGTCTGAGACAATGAAGAATGCTATGTGGATTTTGTTAGAAATGGGTTTAAAGCTTTAGAGAAGGTATTCCTGCTTTCAAGCATCCTTTTCTGCCGTGCTAGCAAGAATCAGGTCAAAGCACAGGGAGATGGAAGGAAATATTCTCAACATTTCAACAGTAGCAGTTTTTACTGATGAAGAGGTTTTATGGAGAAGGTGTTATTTTGATTAACATCTAATTTTTTTTCTGATGATTAGACTTTCTATTCTGGTACATACATATCAGATTGGGTAGGTTTGTGCATATCTAGGTTAGGAAATATTCTCAACATTTCAACAGTAGCAGTTTTTACTGATGAAGAGGTTTTATGGAGAATGTGTTATTTTGATTAACATCTAATTTTTTTTCTGATTATTAGACTTTCTATTCTGGTACATACATATCAGATTGGGTAGGTTTGTGCATATCTAGGTCTGTGCATAGTAAAGGACCATTTGAAAGGATGCTCTATTAAAGGTAGATTGTGTGTAGACTTTCAAAGCATCAGAATTTTAGAATTGAAGGAACAGGAGAATGCCAGATAATTTGTTACCTGGATTTTTTAAATATTTATTTATTTTTCATACTTTTTATACATTCAATTATTATTTATTTTTCATCTGTTTTGTATTTTAACTTAGTTGTGAAACTTTGACTCCAAAGAGAGCAATATTGCTATGTCTCCAAAATATGTATATTTAAGGCTTATCTTTTAGATGGTTACATCCTAAAATATGTATGGCCACACACTTTTCATTTGAAATCTCTGCCACTATTCTGTGTGTGAGACCATTGAGGATTAAGACAAAATCTTTTCTACCACCACCAACCTTCATTCATTTTGGTGTGTAGATTTTATATTTTGTTTTTCTAAACAAGGGAAAACAGTTATAATTCCACCTCTCATGTGCTTCCTCTCCTACAAATTGTAAGCTCAGTATGCGCACATATGTAAGATTTCAAGTGCAAAAGAGAACAGAGGAGGAAACAGATTTTCACAGTCCCCGTCTGGGTCCCTGTGTTTGTGCCAATGTAAAGCTATTCAATGATCAGTGAAACACGGTATAATGTTGCCTGGCTCTAAGGAAATGAATTTGAAAATCTAAACTTAATAAGCAGATCAATTAGGTGTGGATTTGAGATTATTGTATCACATTCCCATGACAGGCAGTGTTGTCAAAGACTTTTTTTCTGCGGAAATAACATTATAGGAGGCATAGAGATACCTTTCAAAATGTCAGGAAAGAGAGTTGGAGAAATTTAGTTAAGAGTAATGAAAATATATTACTTATATCCCAGGAAGCATACACTGCGAGCATCTGGGTATCTTCTGGTAAAGAGTGAATATAATGTGAGTAGGAGAGGAGGTTTACCCTGAATCCAGGGAGGTAAATGGATTAAGCTGAATGTCTGGAAAGAAGAAGCTTGTTGGGTAGAGGTGTGAGCTCTGGGGCTTAGGGGGAAGTCAAATCACTTGCTCCTACGTTTTAAGAGCTAATGATAGCTGTATTTACATTCCTCTGCAGAGCAAGGGGAAACTTGTGCGATAAGTCCTGAGGGAATTATTCATAGCCATCTCTCCTTTCTTTCCACTTATTCAACTTAAATATAAAGGCTAGGTTGAGGTTAAGATTTTACACATTGTCTGTGGTTTCCTTGTCCCCCTCTAATTTCCTGCCACCAACTTACTTCTGTCTAAAATTTCTTAAATGAGATAAAGCATTCCATTCCATAGTTAGAGGTAAGGCTTTCAGTACCTGTTTATTTAACACATTGAATGAAATTTGGCCAAACTCAACACTTGGGATACCAATTCTGTGCCTGGTACTATGAGAGAAAGAAAAAAAGATGAACAAGTATGTCTTCCTGCCTTTCCCTGAGTCTCAGGAATCATACAGCAATTACAATGGGATGGAGGTTCATGAGGGTAGAGATTGTCTTATATCTTCCTTACATTTGTCACAGTTCCTGACTCAACAAAATCTTATTGTTTTTGTAAGTAGGTGGGTACATGGATGAATATAATATCATAAAGGCTATAGAAAAGGTATGTACAAGATCTAAAATTGACCCAGGGGAAGGAGTGAACAATTTTGCCTTGCAGGGATGTGGATAATGGGTGACTTCATGGGGAGCTATTTGAATCAGATTATGAGAGATGAACAGAGGTTTTCTAGAGCTTCTAGAACAGAGGTTTTTCTAGAGCTTCCAGCCAGAAGAATAAGTGTGGGCAAAGGCAAGAAGTTGCAAAATGACTTGGATGTTCAAGGAGCTGCAAATAATTTGGCAATACTAGGTGGTAAGATCAGTGGGAGTAGAAGATTGTGACAGTGAGGATCATAGCGTGAAGGCCCTTTGTCAGTAAGTGACATGCCTGACTCTAGTCAAGGTGGGTGGTATGGGTAGTGGAGGTGGATGTGGAAAAACAAGGACCAAAGGAACTTGTTTCCACCTTGCATTTTTAACGGAGGTTGATCTTGTTTATCTTCAGTAGTATTGGGACTTAGAAGCTAATTAGGGAGACATTTCTTGATATGGAAGCAACAGAGCTCAATGAACTAACTATACTGATACTGCTCCAATGAAATTTTATATTTTAAAAATATATTAAAAGGAAATTTTGTATTTTCAAAGTCAGCTTAGAGTCAGATGCTTATGTAATGAATATAACACTTTACAAAGGAATCTATCATTTAGTTAATGGAATTTCTGCCTCGTTTCTTTGAACAGTGACTTCATTTAGGATTTAAAATAGTTTGATTTACACATAGCTTTCCAGAGATTTTTTTCTGTCTGTAAATCAAGGCACAACTGAGTGGGCGAGAGTTTCCCTACCATATGCCTATGGTAAGAGCAAATATGACTTGGATTTCTTATAGTACTGAATACTTACCTCTGTTGGGCAGGGTGTTTCATTGCTGTATAAATAAATCTACTAGAATGATTGGGTGGCATGGACACTTTGTAATCTTCTTAGTTTAAAGAGAAGATCTATAATGGATTTTTTATTATTTTATTTGGTATGTTTGTGTGCATTTAACTTTGGAGAGCATATTCCAATTTTAAACAAGGGGCCCTACATTAATAAAAGTTGGTTTCTAGAACTTTAAGTATATGTACTGACTATGTAAAGCAACTTTAGGTTCATGCTAAGTTGAAACCGATAGCATCACTACCCTTTCTTCCCACTTATAGCTCAACTGCTGCTGTTGTCATTGTTGTCTTTCTTCTCCTACTTTTATTTCATTAATTTCTGGGTAAAATAATGTATTTTGAGGTTTAATGTATTTTCTCTACTTGATAGAATGTCTAATTTGGGGGGAAATGTTCTTGGCCGCTTGTATTAGTTCAGCGGTTTTAGAATAAGATGTTAGTGGGGAGGGGCAGCAGAATCTTCAGTCATTGATTCTCTCTTTATAACTTTGCCCTTTTAGCTGGAACAGATTACTTCTGTAGTGCTGCTAGCCCCACACAGACTGAATCACAAGGAAGAAACTTTACATAAACCATTTATACTAAATGCTTGGTATGCTGGCAACATAAATCAACAACAATATCCATTACAAATTCATCCCTTTATCAGTATTATCTTGATAGAACTGATCCCAATGTGTGGGAATTTGAACTCTGCTTCAATACATCTGGCCTTGGATAATTAATTATTCAGGGCACAGAGAACCTGGCCCCTGCAATGTAGAGTAATTCTTCCTGGTCAGCGTTAACTCCACTGGCAATAATAAATAGAAAAAGTCTCTAGTGATGCCAGTATTTTAAAGTGATTAATCATCTACCCCCCCCTTCTCCTCCCCCTTAGTTTTCTTTAACTAGGATTTTTCAGCAATAAATCTTTAACAATACAGATAGGGATTGTTCTGTAATTAAATTTTGCCCTGCTTAATTTCTTACCTTTTATGTGTGATTAAAAAAAAATGTTACATTTTAAGGAGCCCTGATCAAAATTCAAACCAGGAAAAATCCTTTTGTAGAATACTGAGAGATTCTCTATGGAAGATTAAGCTTTTGATTTTGAATATTAGATAGAGCACATACTCATAAAAATTGTTCATCAACACCAGTTGGGGTGTCAAATATTCTCAAGTTTTGAATTGCTTCACTTTCATGCTTATCGTTTGTCTGTATTAGGAAAAGTCTGACATATACATATGTTTCAACACTGAGAGAATAATTACTTATTCCTTAACTTTCAGATAATTGATGTCAGCTCTGTAGGAAAGAGACATTTTTCACTACTTTTGCAGTATACAAAATGCACTTGCTGAAGTGGCAGGTAAATGCCTGACTGAGAATGACCATGTATTTTTAAATCGTGCCCTATAGAGCCCAGCCATCATGTATATTCTGGGTGACAGGGACAGATGTGACATATCTGTTGTGACACACTTCTGTACCACCAGTCTGTGGCTCGAGGTGACTCCTGTCCCTCCCCTGATGCTTTCCCCCTGCAGGACAACACAATGATGCACGGATGAACCTTGCCATTGCTCTCACTGCTGCCAGGTATGGGGCTGCCACAGCCAATTACATGGAGGTTGTGAGCTTGCTCAAGAAGACAGACCCCGAAACAGGCAAAGAGCGCGTGAGCGGTGCACGGTGCAAGGATGTCCTCACAGGTAGGCCACGTCTCCGGGCAGGAGGTATTTCTTAGCATCTCGCCTTGCTTATATAATGACTGAATTACGATTTTTCTGCCCTTTTTCCTTCATTTAAGACAGACTTCAGAGTCATATTAATTATATTCCTTATTGTCAACAATGACTAGTTTAACATGAAAATTTTCCCTTGTGGGACTTGGCAATTTTTTCTGTTTGTGTTAAATAACAATAATGATAATGATAATAATAAAGGCCCACAAAATTTCCACAGCTATGAATGCATTTAGTTTTCTTTACAAAAACATGTTATTAATAAGATTAAATGAATGAGCCAAGTTTCAAAGTATCATTTAGGTGACACAGGCAGTGCATTTGCATGTTGTTAAAATCAATCACCTTTAACTTTGGTTAGATTTTCATTCTTACCCTGGTTCTTTGGCAGTGTATGCAGTTTTAAAATTGCGTCATTTCTTGAACAAAACCAGCACTGTGAAATATGTTGTCTCACAGCAATGCTTTTTACACATTTGAGTTTTAAGGGGAAAGTGGCTTATTTACTCATTCCACTTCATGTTTGGTGTCTTGATGCTGGGCACTTTATAAAATCGACTGAGAACCCCAACGAGAAAGTGGCATGCTTTTCTTTCTTTGATTTGGACTTGTTTCTGGTAAATTTACTCAGATGCCAGCCTTTTGTTTGGCTGTTCAATAACTCTGGTTGCTCATGTCACTTAGTGTGGTCTGCAATATACTTTGCCATAGGTTAAGTTAATAGATGAATTAATAATCCACAGCATCAGTAAACAGAGAGACAAATGGGGTGTGTGATTGATGCTGCTTTCTCTCACAGGGAAGGAATTTGATGTGAGAGCCAAATGTGTTATCAATGCTACGGGACCTTTCACAGACTCTGTGCGCAAAATGGATGATAAGAGCTCTGCTGCTATCTGCCAGCCGAGTGCTGGTGTCCACATCGTGATGCCTGGCTATTACAGGTACTGTGTTCCAACGTGGTGGTCATCACCCCAGAAAGAGGGTCACAAGAGAGGGTCTGTATTTAATTCCTTCTTGTAGTAGCACACCTTTCTTAATAATACATGGTCTAATTTGCTGTTCAGAATGAGGAAAAATAAATAAACTCTTCCAAAACACAAAATGCGAGCCATACTTGGGAATTTCTTAACCACTTAAGCCAAGACTTGTTTCTAAGAGTTAATGATTTGGGATCTGTCTATTTTTGTACTTTGTTCAGTATAGTCACCTTCAGAGACTAAGCATTAGTATTTTTGAGTTATAGTTTTAATAAAACACTTAATAAATTAATTTTGCAAAAATTTTCATAAAGCCCATTTTAATTAAAACATTAAAAATAAATTTCGCAAAATACTCAAATTTGCTTATGAAGCATCTGAAAACATGGGCCACTCAGGTATTCTTAGGTTTATAACTTTTGAACTATGTTTTTAAAAATATTATAACATGTCAAAATCAGATATAATTTTTAATCTATTAAATTAACAAAGATAATTGGGGATGGAAGAATGGGTAGGGGTAGAGACCAGAATAGTGTAATTGAAAATCACTTAAGCTGGTTGATGGGTACATGGGGGTTCATTAAACTCTCTGTTTTCGTATATGTTTGAAATGTTTAACAAAGTTTAAAAAAAAATTTGTGCACTTCTAGCTAAAAATTAAATAATGGTTACCCGTAATGTATATTTCAAGACATCTGTAGAAAAAAATCAGTATGGTCATGCTAAGAGTACAGAACATGTATACTGTTTCTATTTTCATATGTGGTAAATCAAATAGGCAAACTGGTAATTCTGTATGAAATAATGATATAAGTACAGTGGTATTCATTATGACATTATTTGTAGTTGAAAAAGATTAGAAACCACTTTGGTTCCTCACCTTAGGAAAATAGATAAATAAATTATGGCATATCCACACAAGGGAATATTATATAATCATTAAGAATTATAATTATAAATAACTTTAATGTCCTACAAAAACAGTAATGATACAATGTTTGTTTAGAATGTAGGACACAAGACGATATGTGCAGTATGATCTGAATAATATGCAGAAAAAGGCTGGAAGAAAAGATGTTAAATATTAATGGTGATTATCACTATTAATAAGTGATTACAGTTGAGAGTTATTTCCTTTCGTATGTTAGTAATTTTCCATAAAGGAAATAAAGGCTTTTAATATTTGATAAAATAGATGTGCAGAAACCATGATATTTTAATACCTGTATTCTGCTAGAATGCTTTCCTACTATGTTAAAGATGATACTGCCTTACTAATTATTGGTCTTCTCATAACTAAGTCTTCCTAAAGAGAGTCCAAGATACATGTAATTTGCAACAAACACACTTCTACTGAGAAAACTGTTAGAGAATTTCTTGTCCACCAAGTTCCACGTCTTCCTTCTCGTTTTCTCAATGTCTTCGTGAGATGTGTACGAGTAGACAGTCTTCAGTATTCTTACTTTGTACTGGAGACAACATGGTGCCTTTAGTCTTTATAATACAGATTTATGCAGCGGTACCTAACTGAGGGTTAGAAACTGTTAATCAAAAGCTTAGCTCAAAGGAAAGGAGAGAAGTGAATATATGTAAATGTCCCATATGTTTCTTGTTTATAGAGAAGTTTTCAACAATAGTTCTAATCACAATTGTATATGCTTATTTTGTGTTGGATGGAAAATATCCAAGGCTAGAAAGTTCCTAAGTGTTTTGCTTGTTTGTTTTCTAACACCTGTAATAAGAGTACATATGTAATCATCATAATCTCTATGTTTGTTTAGATTTTACTAAATTCACCATATTCTCATGTGTATTGTTCACTATTGTTCTATGACGTCAGAGAACACGTTCCTCTCCATCATTCCCCAGAGGCCTCGTGTTAATTCTATCACTTAGTAGTCACATCCTTTGGAACAAACCATTTTATTTTGTGAATCCTAGTTTTTCCATCATTAAAATGGGAAAACATTCTCATTCAGAGTGTGGAGACAGACATTATGAAAGTAAGTTAAGGTGATACGTTGGTATAGAACTTCCTGGGTTTATTCATCACTTTGACTTTTGCTAAAACTAACTGTGTGACCTTGGGCACGCTACTTCTTTCAGCTTCTGATTCCTTTTCTCATGGTAGTACCTAACTTGTATAAAGTTTAACAATGATCCTTTGATTACCTTTTTTCTGTTTTGTTGATTACTATATCTCCAGCTCTTAGTACAGTGTCTGGCACTTAATAGTGCCCAGTGCATAGTTTTTGGATGAATCCTACTGACTTTTTTTTTGGTGATAACTTGCCCAAATTGAGATTGTTGCTTTTTTTAATATTAAAATTTTAATATAACATTTATAAGAGATTTTTTAATGTAGAGAATTTAAAATAATAAAACAAGTTATGATTCTTTATCTTACTGCCCAGATAACCCCATAGACAAAGTAAATAAAGGAAAATAATGTTAGGTGTGTGATCAGACATTTCAGTCACTATAGAAGAATAGAAAGAAATGAAAAGGGGCCCTGCTACCACACACACACACCCAGTTCTTCCCTGGTAATTGGTAACCCTTCTAATTTCTTTGATAAAATTTTATGTTTTTATTTGCACAAATATATATATCCTCTTAAAAATTTTGTATGAAAGTGTTCATGCTACATATATTGTTCTGTACTATGCTTTGCACACTTAATAGCAGAGTAGATAGGTGTGATATAAAAAATATTTGTCACCCAGATGTAATGTTTCCAAAACAGAATACCTTTCTTAATCCTAAGAATTTAGCATTAGCTATGAGCCTCACCATAAATCATGAAGGTGTTGGTAACAGCTAGGTCTGTCTCAGTCTCATATGCAGTAAATGATCTCATTCTACTTGGGGAGAAATTAATATCCCCATTTTTAGCACCATAAACTACACCACTATATGTTCTGTTGGAAACCTTAAAGCAATGGTCTACAGCTTAATTCCCATTCAGGCTCTGTTGCAGAGAAGCCCGATGGTGTTGGATTGTGGCCTGGGTTAGCACTGACTTTGCGGCAATGATAGCATTGTCCTTGAGGCAGTGATAACACTGGCATCCCATAGAGATGGTTTTCCTCTTCATATTAAGTCATTTTCTTGGGTGGAGTCTGGAGATCTCAGACTGAAATGACTCTCTGGCCTCGTTAGTCAAACACACTTAGCAGTTGTAACTCAAGGGTTTTGACTAAGTCTTCAGGGATGAACCAGAACTTGTCTGTACCTTCTAGGGCTGCCCTAAAACTGCCTGATAATGACTTAAGACCAAGCATTTTAGTGAGAACCTGATCAGTTTGGAAGTGCAGTAGCCATTGATTTATTGAGTGAAGGCTGTGAAATGAAGAATGAAGACCATGTGTGCTGTGTACCTTATTGGGCAGTTTTCAGAAGAATCTTTATGGCACTTATTAAGTTTGTTATGTCCCTAAATAATGTTCCACATGTGGAATTATCTCACACCATGATAGCAGCTTTTTTTAGGGGGTAGGGAGGAGAAATTGTTTTAACTTCAGAAAACCCAACACACAGAAATTATTTTTTAGAGCCAATCTTCAGATTATGTTAAGAACAAATCTGGAATTTCCATCAGAGTTGTGGCTAGATGCTTTTCCAAAAACAGCAATAATGCACTGAATGACCAAAATACTTGATAATAATCATCTCCTCCTTCTAGCCTACTGATGCTTTTTACTTCTGACAAAAGTCAATTTTTTTTTTTCTATAACACGTGTACATACTGTTAGCTCTAACACTGATTGCTAAGTAGTTAACAATAAATTGATTTCAGTTTAACTAAGGGTTCTTCAGGAAAGCAATGGCCTGCATGAGAAAAATGTTCATTATATTTAATCCTAGACACGCACATAAATTAGCAGCAAGCTTTTTTCCCTGATGTCAAATGAATCATACATATTGAAAAAAGACCTATGCCTTGCTTCATTGTGTATACTATCTAGTTGATATCCATTTTCAAACTTCAATGTGACCTTGCAGAATTAATCCTTCTTAAGAAAACAAACTTTTCCCTAAGGGAGAGGGTGAATTAGGTAATTTAGAACTGATGAAAGATATTTCCAAGTGGATTCTTAAATTTTTATACCATTCCTTAATAGCTTTGTCTGCCCTCTGTGCTTGTTAATTTTATATTTGACACATATGTCTTCACTTAAGCAGTTGATTCTCTACAGGTTCCAGTTATGTGTGTGTTGGTAACCATCACCTTCACCTTTTAAACTGCTTTATTGCAGTGAAAGGTTTTAAAGATTCAGTAGTTGTGGTTTTCTAACATTTCCTATCTAGTTTGCTAAATATTATAATTTTATGCTTAAATTGGTCAGGTTTATTATTTTAGGCACATCATATGATATCTGGTCTATGAGATGGCTGTATATAAAATATATCAACATATGTTTCTCAAATGTTAGAATATGGAGTTTATCCTTTTATTTCAATATAGTACTGTACTGTTTATCAAATTGAATGCTTGAACTCTGAATGAGTTCATTTCCAATTCCAAAGTGAATTTTTTGACCAGTAAGGGGATCGCAACCCTCGGCACGTGTGGTCTGCACTACGCTCAGCCAGTGAGCGCACCGGCCAGCCCTATATAGGATCCCAACCCGCAGCCTCCGTGCTACCAGCACTGCAGTCTCCCGAGTGAGCCACGGGGGCGGGCCCCAAAGTGACTGATTTAATCTAAGGGCATATAAACCCAGGATCAAAAACAGTGTTTACAAAACATGTGATTATCTAGTTTTTTACAAAGATTTTCAGGTAGCTTCAGGACAAATACACAGAAAAAACAGTCATATTTAGAGACCAAAACGTCTCTATACTCGTAGTTTTTAACTAGAGTAAAAGTAAAATTATTTCCTCTTGGTGACCCTGAGTGAAAGTGGCAATCTTAGCTGAAGGTCTAAATGACTGACACACTTCTGTGGTGCTTTTTGGATTTAGTAGAACTGTGGTCCACTCTCTCCTTTGTCTCTGAAGTAGCCTATGAACGATGATTTCTTTCTGCAAAGGCTGAGTGGACATGGCAGGCATTTCATGGGGCTGGGCGTTCCTTGCAGAGAAGACTAGTACTCCTTGTGGTTTAAATAAAGGAGATGCATTAGCTAAGCTGACTGTAGATTTATTTTTTTATAAAAAAAAAAATCATTTTGGTTTGCTTTTAAACAGTTGTTAGCCTCTCATCCTCATGCATTTGAATAATTTAAAAAAAATTAAGGGAATGATAAACATGAGAAGTTGAGTTATGCCCTTTTTAAATTTGTGTGAGTAAATTTCTTGAAATTTGGTCAAACCAAATAGAATTGTGTTTCTTGTATAAGAAATTGCATTAATAGAAGCCAAAATATATTTACAGAACATACCTTTAACACTGGCTTGGTGTGATAATTTAGTCAAATTGAAACAGCTATCTGAAGATGTGTAGTGAATATGACGTTTTCGGATTCCTTCCACTGCTTAACAACTTCTCCAAATTTCTTTGAATGGCTGATGAAATGCATTAAAAGAACAATTTCTAGTGATTTAAAAACAAAACCTGATGGGTCTTGTTAATGTTTATTTACAGTTATCTATCCTTCAAATGTGTTTTATAACTTGATTTTAGAATATTCAATATATGTCAGTGAAAATTCTTGACTAATATTTTGGAAGATTTTATATAATCTGTCAGGAAGAGACAGCTTTGAAACTTGATTTAATAGCATAATACACTAGTGTCTTCTGGCTTTTTAAAAGACTTTCATTGCTAAGGCGTTCCTCTCCCTTTTGACCTTAAACTAGGACATTGTTATTTAGGTAGTAGTAGAAAACTGAGGTGAGCCCTTTTCTTCTGGATACACCTGTTAAGATTTCTGTAACCTTGAAATAAAGTAAGAAATCTCATATTTGGTGAAGTGGCATGAGTTCGTCTAGGCATAAAGGAGTAAGGAACTTTATGATTATATTTTAGTTTCTAGGAAGTTAGACCCTTCACTTTCTCATGTATTTCTGAGTACTTCTACTGAAAGATGTGCCAAATGTCAAATGTCCCAGGAAAATACTTTTCATAGACTTGAAAAAAGGTTGAAGAACTATTCTTAACTGACCATTATAGAAGAAATTATAGACACTTATCTCGCTGACATTATCCTATGTGAATGGTCCAAAGAGTATAAAAACCAAAACAACTGGAAGTTGAAGTTCACTTTCGTAATTAACCTTGCATTGCTGAGGTGGGGAGGGGTGGTTCTGCTGTGGAATATTATCATCATCACATTTGCTCCATTCCTTTTTGTTTTCAAATTTTTTTTTTCTTTAGGAATTTCCAGATTAGGTAACGAGAAGTAAAAGTAATAGTTCATGTCTTGCTTGTGTGCTTATTTGAGAATAAGTGAATAAAATAGTTTTTAGAATGCAGATTAATATTAAACTTCTGCTAATTTCAGAAATGAATAATAACCCTTCTTTTCACCTCAGCCCAGAGAGCATGGGACTTCTTGACCCAGCCACCAGTGATGGGAGAGTTATTTTCTTCTTACCCTGGCAAAAGATGACTATAGCTGGCACTACGGATACTCCAACTGATATTACACACCATCCTATTCCTTCAGAAGAAGATATCAACTTTATTTTGAATGAAGTGCGTAACTACTTGAGTTGTGATGTTGAAGGTAACTTAAGCATTTCTTCAAGTTTTTCCCTTCCTCTTTATGTCTCTCAAACCCTTCCAGCTCTCCCTGGGTAACCGCACATCTCCAGTCTGACTCATCTTCACACCTGGCCTCGTGCAATGCTTATGTGCTGCCCACTTCTCTTAGAAAATGTGTGAGGACTAAATTATAACACAACGGAAAGAAATTGCCTTTTCTTCTCTACTTTCTACAGCCACATGAAACTCATGTGATCCTTTTCTGATAATCTTTAATGGCGAGATTGGAGTGCCACCCATGAGCTTAAGTATTCACGAGCTTCTAGAAGAGTATGAAATGTTTACATCACTGTCTAATTTCTACAGCTTGAGAAGGTCTGATTTACAGGTACAGGATATTCACAGGAAATAATATAGCACAGAAATGGGAGGATAGAGGTACATATTCTAAGAAGCTTAATGGTTTGTTACTATGCGGAAAGTAAAGTACAGTGTTGAACAGTGGATTTAGCAAAGGAGGATAAATATGCTTGTTTTAATGAAAGAAGCCAAAATTTACTTCTTTTTTATGCTTACGTGGGCATTTTAACTTGGCTATCTTAGCATTTTCTCCGATGAACTTATAGAATGAAATTTTTAGCCAGGTTGGTCCCAGAAGTTCCCCAACATTATCCTTCTGTATCTTCTATCTCAGTTAATAGCCTCACCATCCATCTAGTCACCCACGCTAGAAACAGCATGCTTATCTTTGATGCTCCTTTGTCTTTCCATGTCCAGTCTAACTCCTATCTATGCTCACTGTGAATACCATGCAGGTTCCTTCCCACTTAATTGCTCTGATTCATACCTGTGCCATTTCTCACTTGAACAGGTGCATTGCCTCCCTATGTCAGGTCTCTGTCATCACCAAGACTGATCCCTCCATCAGAACTCTCTTTCTAAAATGTGATTGTGATTATCACTTCCCTGCACAAAAATACCCCCTGGATATCTCCTCATTGACTTTAGGGAAAATTCTAAGTTCTTTCACATGGAGTATAAGGCTTTTCACAACTTGTCTTTGCAGGTTTATATTCAACTGCTCCCCTTCCATGCATTCTGTGGTTTAATCTTATTATATTACTTATCATTTCCAAGTCAGGTCATAACTTTTAAACCTTCTTGCCTCTGTAGGTTGAAGCCTTGCTGTGGGGTGCCCTTTCTCCCAACTTATCATCTTGGAAAAATATTTATACTCCAGAAAGCACCTTTGCTTTGTACTTCCATGGGACATTGGTCATACTGCTAGTAAATCACATTATATTACATATGTAATAGTCTTAAGTTGTATTCTTACTTGGAACTCCTTGAGGGTAAGAATTCTTTGTTCAACTACAAAGCTTATCATTAGATAAGTGTGCTACTCATAATTGTTTGGAATTAAAATGAGTTAGTTATAGGTGCTCTCAGTGTTTTTGATACTGGGAGCAGTTTGAAAATCCTATGTTAAAGTAGACAAGTTCAAGATTTTTGAAAAATAGTCTTCATCTGTTTGTATCAGGAATCTTCTTATAATGTTGGCTTCAGGGAAGGGCATACAGACACTATTTTAGTCTGGATAAAACTCACTAGCAGATGAATGCTTTTTCCCTAAAGGTTTTTTTTTCATTGTGTGGTCACATATTTACAAACAAAATAAACTGCTTTAAGAAATAGCTTAGGTGATTCTCCTAGTTTAATTAGTTAATCTATGTTGTGTAGTTTTAGTTGCTTCTAATCTAAAGTAAAGGATGTAATTTCACTCTCAATGGAGTTTCTTTGGATATCTACAATAATTGTATAAATGTATTAAATACTTGTAATTGTAATCTGTATGGCTAATGCTTATACTCACACACACACACACCCTGACACACAGTTATTTGGGAAATAGTCATGCCCTATTTAACACCCATATTTAAATACTCAAACTGCATTGCAGTTCTAGCCTGATGCTTTTTTTTTTTTCCTTTTGCAGTCTAGGAGGAGCTTCAACATCTGGGTATGATTGTATTTCAATGTATTATTTTTAATGAATCCTGCTTTATTTCACATTTACAGGGGTATAATACTTGTTAAAAGAACATGTATATTAGGGCCTTAAGATCAGGAATTTAGATTGTTAGAGCAAGACATAAAATCAATTGAAAAGCAGAGAGCTCTATGTTGACAGTTTCCAAAATCTTAAGGTTCAAATGCAGTAAGGATGAGAAATCTAACTGCTTTGACTGCTGTGAGTCTGGATGTGCTGGAAGCAGGTATAGGTTCTGGAAGGCTGCTGTGCCCATATTTTAGGTTGGGATCTCCACCAGTGAAATGAGCCTTGGGCTGTAACATAGACTGGATCACTTTCATTCTGCCTATAAGTAGATAGAATAGTTGGCAATACCTGGTTGGTACATAAAGGCTTTTTTCAATGAACAAACCTTTTTGTCATCAGGGAACTGGTGAAACTAATTGTTAATTCTTGTGTTTGGTAAAAGTGGTTGACCTTAATATCTAAACATTGAAAATCAGGTCTTTTCTCCTGGTGGTCTGTGGATGTCTTGAGATTCTGTGTTCTCCAGGTAGCCAATATCCAGGGTAAAAGCAGAGATGACAGCTCTGTTATAGACTTCATTTATTTGCCTGTGTGTACCATCTATCACATCTTTTCTACTTATAAACTTATCCTTTTGAAAATAATTAACAGTGATTCTTTGTAACTTCTTCACGTTCTTGTAAGTGAGGAATTACCTTTGATCTTGAATAAAGAGTGTCACTTAGCTGACGTATATCTATATCTTAAAGTGAGGACATTCAAATACATTTTTTCCCCAAGGGATGTTGGTGAAACCCAATTTTCTTTTCTATACTGATTAAATGTGAGAGACAAGGTCAGCTTCAGGTACCATTCAGTCATTTAATTACATGCTGTTGCTACACATATTTTAATATTTACATTTGTATGCTTTATTTTTTAAAACCATACCATTATGGAGCACTTTTATGTTAGACACTCTGCTAAGCAAGCATATTGCCTATTTTATCTCTGATTCCTGTTAATAATCTTATGAGGTTCAGTTTGTAATTCCCATTTTATAGTTGGAGAAACTGAGGCAGAGTGATGTTATGTTTCCTGCTTATAACTAGATGGTGTTGGAGCCATAATGTGAGTATAAGTAAGTCTGCTGGTTTTTATACTTGTGCTTCTAAATACCGTTCAGTACTCTGATTGGTGGTTCAGGGTTTCATGATGTGATATTATATTCACCAGGGAGTGAATTAAGTCTATCAATTCATTTCATGGAAACTGCTAGACACCTTCAGAATGACAGTGACCTTTGCTCTCTACTGGCCTTATTTGAATTTGAATGTTAAACTAGAGGAGGTTTCATATCTCATAACTAATCCCTTGGGCCAGCCAGTCTTCTCCACAGATTTAAAAAATAAAAAGTTTGGTTTAGATCCTAGAGCAATAGTTTTGAAATGTTTTACATTCACCAGGGTTGAAATAATCATTCTAAAAGGATTTATTAAATGGAGAAGTAAAATTCTGACAGTTTCTTAGCCTCCCCAAATGGCTATATCCTTAAGAAAAAAAAAAGTGTCAAATCTTAACACTCCATGCTGTTCACAGCAGCTGCCACACTTCTGCAAAAAGCGTCAGAACAATTCTGAAAAGCATTTTGCCTGTTGGGAATATGACCATGTCTTCTTTTACAATTTAGAAAGCTTTCCATTCACAGACTGAATTTTCTAGATTACTTGTTTGTTCTTTTCTGAAATGGGTAATTGATAGTTCTGCGGTTCGTATTGAGTTAGGAAGAAAAATGATCTTTTGAAAAATGTATCATTAAGTCTGCTGTGTAGAGGTTAATCAGAAGGATGCAGCGGTGAAACTAAGCCATGACTTAACGGTATTGAGAGAGACAGAAGATTTGCCCAGTGCTTTATTCATGTAGTTTTTCTGGAGTGCTTCTCTGGGCAGCTTCTCTTCTTATACACAGGTTTTCACATATGCAATTAGTAGTGTTTATAGATTGCCTGTTATTCAATTAACAACTGAGCTGGCCATATCAACTCACTGCAGACCTGCCTTTTCACTGCCAGAGATTGTACCAGGGTTATCAACTTACACAGGCTTGGATGTCTTCCAGCTGTTTAATTATAGTGTCATGCGCTTTGCTTTTTCTAGTTTCATTAGTTTATAAATGTAACATGGTATCTTATTTCTGTGATTAACACTTCATTTCAGCAGGTTAAACATGCTGGTAGAGAAGTATTGATTTCTGACACTATTTCCCCTGTGTTCATTTAGGTATTTTCACATGCGTTTTATTGATTTTTGTGAACGTGGCAAACATGAGAAAGAACACCCCAAAACACATGCCTAAATAACTAATGTGAAGCAACAGCACACATTTAGCTCTTAATTGTCATTTCCTATGGGCTTCATATTCTATTAATTTTTTAAAACAAACACTTTTCTTGCCAAGTATGTAAGATTAAAATATTAATTATAATTTGAAACATTCACATCATACAAAGTTTTTTCAACCGGCTGTGAAAAATGTCTGTTTACTATATACATTTTATTCTTCATATATTACATATACAAAAACCTAAATGAGTTATTTATTGGGGATTCAATAAAAATAATTCTTACACATGATGGTAGAAGGACTATTTTATGTTCTCGTTACCTTTTGAAAACATTGCCAAGTGCTTTTATATACACTGGAGATATTCCATAGTTTTTTTTTTTAAACATCTGGGAAGTTGACACCACCTAAAAAATCAGCTTGGTGCCATATGGGTGAGCCACTCTAATAAGTGGTCCTTAATGATGGATTTTACTAAACTTTAGTTAATAGTAGTTTTGTTTTCTTTCATTTTGTTTTATTTAAAACATCCACTTATTTTGGAAGGGAATATCTGAAGTTTTAAATTTTTAGTTGTTAGAATTCTTATGTAAAGCCTAGCTTATTGGCTCAGAGGCTTTTGATTTTATAATATCAACTA